TTTTTTTTTTTTTTTTTTTTAACTGAAATATAGTTGACATACAAAACATTTCTTGTTTTGAGTACTTGTCTTATAATGGCTCTGTATTAGGCCACCATGACTTTATCAGCCTTGATTTTTTTTTTTTAAGCTGATTTCCTTTTTTAAGTGTTCTTACCTTATTCTTTAAAAGACTGACTCCATGTGAAAATCTTTCCCTCTTTAGTGGGCCCTTGTCCACACTGATTGAAAAATGCTCACATTTGTTACACTGCTTAAGTGTTCTTGCTCAAGGTTTACATTCAGATCACAGTGGTTCTTCAGTTCGTTAGACATCGTGTTTTAGAAACAGGAGAGCCAGGTGCTGCAGTGTCACATGAGAAAAAGTTAATGGTGGAAATCACTTTTGGTTGAAACCATCCATTCCTGTCTGCATCTGGATTACCACATCTGTTTGGAAGGGAAAGGAAGGGGGGATCGTTAGTATGAAATAAGGTTATATATGGACAGAGACAGTTTATCCATAAATGCCTCCCCGCCCTCCCAAAGCACCATAACGATCAAAGCTCTGTTTCCAAGGCTGCAGACTTTTTTCTTAGAGCTTTTCAGAGCTGCCTTTAACTTTGGCCTAACTTCACCTGTATAAATGATTCCAAACTGAGTATAGATAAGTGTGTGTATTTTGCCTTGGATTTGAACTTGTCTGCATATGTGTCCCCCCACTCCCTCTTCCCACCACCACTGTTCCCCACAGAACACAGACATTTGTTATCAGTTGCTACAAATGTAGTCCTGCCTAGGGCTAGCTAGTGTAAGGACAGTTTTTCAAGGTCACAGTTTGGGTTTTCTGCCTCGGTTCTACTATCTTCCTCCCCCTGACTCACCGAGTAAACGTTGACAAATTCCTTTGCCTTATTTGAGCATTGATTTCCTTACCTATAGCCTGAAGGAGTTGAACTAGTAGTTTAACTTTTTGAGGGTCCTAGAAACTTTAGAAAATCTGATGAAAACCATGAGCATTCTCTTCCAGGGAATGTACTTGTTGACAACATTCTGTGCTTACTTTCAGCGCATTCGCAGATCCCCGGGAGCTTGTCCGTGACCCCTTTAGTAAGCTTACTCAGATAAGTCATAACCTTTGGCCTAGACCAGTTGTGCCTCATGGACTGTTTTGTTTTTGAATGGCTTGCACACCTGAAAAATCTACTCTTTGCCCTTTATAGACAGTTTGTCAGCCCGTGGCCTAAATAATTGCTGAGATCCCTGTTAATAGTACTGACTTGATGATTTTTCATATGTGTCTGCTAGATGAGATTGCTGGTACTTGGGTGTCCTTTTTAGGCCCCTTTGTTTTTTCTGTCAAGGTTTTTGGATTTCAGAAATTTAATGGTTGATTTAAATGGTTGCTTTTGTTTTAAGATGTCTTTCTTTTGGTCACAAATTAGGTAATAATTCTCATAGGAAATAAAGCAGATTTGGAGGCACAGAGAGATGTAACATATGAAGAAGCCAAACAGTTTGCTGAAGAAAATGGTGGGTTTCTTTTAAGATTTTTAATGGGGGTTTTGGTTCACACGTAGAATTTCTAAGGAAGGGTGGGATTTTGATACTGCAGATTATGTGACTTTTTTTTTTTTTTTTTTTTTTTTTTTTTTTTTTTTAATGGCAACTGCTTACATTTCCAGAGTGAGGAAATAAAATGTTTCTATTTGACATTCCTGTTTTCCATGTTGGGGGTAGTGCAAGTATTTAATAACAAATATAAAGATTCCCCGCCATCTCAAGCTAACATGTGTTGTTTCATAAAATACTATGATAGGAGTACTGATAGCTGATGGGAAACTTTTATTCATGGGAAAGTTTTATTCAAGTGTTATTGAAGATAATCCCCTTTTGAGTTAATTTGAAATGTCTTAATCATAAGTCTGAATTTTATTTTTAGGCTTATTGTTCCTTGAAGCAAGTGCAAAAACGTACGTATGGCTAAAATTAATCATTTTCAGTTATGTTTAATTACATTCAAACTTCTCAAAGTAGAACCACACATAAGGAAAATGGATTCTAATATATTTGCATGTAATAACGCTTATGGTGGGAAGAATAGTAAGCACGCATCCCTTTGTTTCCTTTTTCACATTTAAAAGTAATATTTTTTGTTAACTTTTCCTAAAAGATTGTACCTTGATTATTCCCGTTGGTAATCCAGGTTAATAAATGAAGTTGTGTTAGCATTTCAAAAGCGTTTGACTTTCACAACTGAGGTTGAGTTTGGCATCTTAGACTCAAGCTTGGTTAATCTGTTCATTTAATACTGCTGATTAAAAAGCATGACCTAAGGAAACAATGTCTAAGAATAATTAGAAGCATAATTAATTTTCTGATTGTTACTCCGTGTCCATTATTGAACCCCAGGCCTCCCATCTTCATTTATTAAGTCAAACATCTCTTGCTGGTGAGAAGCTAGCCCCTTTGTTCAGTGCCATCTGTATTGTTAGTATTAAGAGAACTGAAGTGTGAACATAGCCGAGCATGAATATATCGCCATCACATGATAAAAACAGTATAGTTGGTGCTTGGCTAATCAGACCATACAAATCCTGGAATCCTGTTCTGCATGTTTTGAGATGTTTGTGTTTGGAATGCCTTCTCACAGTTACAAAACTGGCTCTTCATTTTCATTATATATTAGTGTATAACATTTTAATGATTAGAACGTACCCTGTTATCCAGTTGGGGCTTGTAGAAACAGCTCTTGGTACCGCGTTCACGTGCTTTTCCACAGAAATTATTTCCCCACGTTGCTCTCCTTAGCTCAGTCTTTGGTAATCTCTTGTTAGATGACATTGGCTAAGTTGAAGACATCATGGCAGTTGACTAAAGGTTAGCAAAAGTGCATCATGTCTAAATTTCGTGGAGAGCTGTGATTCTTGAATAAAGTTGTCGATTGCCTCTCAGGGGAGAGAATGTAGAAGATGCTTTCCTTGAAGCTGCCAAGAAAATCTATCAGAACATTCAGGATGGAAGCCTGGATCTGAATGCTGCTGAGTCCGGTGTACAACACAAGCCTTCAGCCCCGCAGGGAGGCCGGCTAACCAGTGAACCCCAACCCCAGAGAGAAGGCTGCGGCTGCTAGTGACCTCTTTGCCGTAGCTCCCGTGTGACCTTTCACCTGTCTGTTGGAAGCAGTACTTTTTACTGCCTCATTGTCTTCTGTACATCTTACTGGGTTTAATTAAAAAAAAAAAAAAAAAGGAAAAAACAACTCTGTTGTAAAAACAGTTTAACACAATACTAAACTGCTAAACAACTAGGTGTAATCAGGTTATCAAAGGCAAGTAGAGTAATAAATCTCTCCTGCATGGTAAATCTAGACTTTTTTTTCCCCCTTGATCGTCCTCGTGATAGGTATGTCACCAGTACATGATTTAAACTGAGCACTGATGCTGGACTTAAATGATTTTTATCCTTCCCTCTTTTTGGCAAGGCTTTGTCTTACTGTATGGTTTAATTTGATATCTTAAGCCTTTCTCCCCATCTTTAACTGTTCAAGTATGTCTGTTGTAACCAGTAAGTTTATTGCTGTGAAATGACTTCTGATGATAGAGAATGGGCTCTATAACTGCTTTTGTTTTGTTTTCGTTGGATAAATTTTCTGTCGTGTGGGTGGCATTTTTCTCGTGGAGGTTTGCTTCTGTCTTAGCCTTGCACAGGGAAATATCCACTTATCTTTTCTCGTGCTTAATTAATAGCTTTATCTTTTTTTTTTTTTTACACCATTTTATCCTTTTCTCTTTAGCAGAAAGTAAATATGTATAAAATTTGAAGGAACCGAACTAACAATACATTCTGTGTATATTATTTTAATGAAGAAAATAAATTGATTACTGGCATTGGAACAGTATAAAATACCAGTTTGTACAGTATGACCTATATGTGACCATGTTACTCCCTTCCATTTCACACAAGGAAATAGACACAACTGCAGTTCACAGGTAATACTGGCTTCACCCTCTGGTGCTGGCAGTGTTTGGGGACACAATGCTGGAAGGAGCTCCTAGCACGAGAGGATTAACACTAGCAGATTCTGTTCCATCTTTGCACCGTGGCTTACCTGCTGATTTTCTTAACTGTTCTTGTGCAATCGACAATGTGCTAACCTGCTTTTCTCTTTGTAAACGTTTTGCATTACAGGCTGCATTTCTTGCCTTACTGTATAGAAAAAGAAAAAAGGCTGGGTTTATTATTGCACATTTTAAGCTTTTATACCTTTATCTTCTTGGAATGGTGAGATTGTGGACCGGACAGTCAGAACCGCAGGTCTGCTGTTAAGGGATTTTAAATTGTGCATTTTTAACACTACAGTGAGATAATTTAAGGTATCCCTTGTGTTCTTAGTATAAGGGGCTATTTTATGTCATGGGGGCATAAATTGTTTTGTAAAAGGGAAAGTGTTTCTAACGGTGTTTCAGTGTTTGCGCCAGTGTTTGCACCAATCCGATCCGAAGTAAGTTATTACTTTGCACTGGGTGGTTTGGCCACTGAAAGAATACTGTGTTGCAAGGGAAACGATCTCTTTGGATAACAAACTTCTGTTTCACCAGGTTCTTTACTTCTTTTGATTGATTTCTGATGGAGTTTATGGTTCAGACTGAGAATTGAGGTTATTTGAAGTAGGATAGGTAAACCTTAGTGTATTATCTAAAGTCACTCAGCTCACCTGCTGTGTTTAAAATACACATTTTAAATCCCTCTTTACAGACACTAAAGTAAAAATAAAAAATATGACTTTCTGGGTTGTAAACATGTGGTAGTACTGGAGTATTGTATAGTCAATGTTAAATAAAAGCCAAAACTGGAATGTGCAGAAAATAGGATTGGATTGATTTGTGGACTCATCTTTATTTTTGTCTTCGTTGAACTTTTTTAAAAACAAGATTCCTGGAGTAGATTGGTATATTCTGTTAAAGACCTAAAAGTGACCCATTTTGCTTACCCTGTTGCTTCACAAGGGACTTGCCCAGGGACCATGACCTGCTGGTGTGTGTATATATTTTCAAAAACAAAACCAACCACCCATTGGGATATAAGGTAGCAATCACAAACTAAAGACTGTGGCTTGTTTAGGTGCAATACCCTGATTCCCAAAGTTAGTTACAGTGGGTCTTATTGTTTTTGTGACAGGATTTATTCAGACTGCTGTACTCTTCATTTGATGTAACAAAATGCTATTAATCTAAATATTTGTAAATAAAGTACCTGTATCTAGATTAAATTAAAATGGTTTGCATTATTTTCTGAATTACAATAGGATTTCGTATTTTCTTCAGGCAAACTGTTATCCGGCAAAAGCTGTCAGTTTTTATTGCAGAACTGTCCTTGTATAAAGAGAAGTCTGTGTATATAGCGTATAAATCCACATCGCTTAGTAATTGACCTACACTTTTATTCTTGTGTTCAGATCACACTTGCAGTGTTTAAGTTGACTTTTTTCAGCGTGAGATCGGCACCCTTGGTGCCTGATAGTGTTCTCCCTTGACTGTACTTGGGGCCAAATTCTGTTATTTGCATGTGTAACCCCCTATAATAAACTTGGGTGCTCAAAAACAGAAGAGCAAATTGTCATATTGTAACACACGTGTGCCAGACACTGGGCAAGTAGAGAGAGTGAAGTTCTTTTAATCTTTAATCCAGGAGAGCTCACTACCTCTGTGGTCACCCGGTTCTCTGGGTTGTTAACCGTGCACCTACAAGGAGCCCCTCTTGATGAGTACTTGGTGCTCAGTACTCTTTATGGGTTAGACGTTCCAGTACAATGTTCAGGTGTTTTTCAGGGATAATAAAGTGTTTGATGCAGTAACCTCGATTAAAAAAAAAAAAAAAAAAATTCTGGTGGTGATGTTCATGTCCTACTAGAGGTAGTAAAGTTTCTTTGGAAAGCTGTCTTTTGGAACCAGGTGTTTGGCTTCATACATTGATTACCTCACCTAATTCCAGACTATAGTTTTGAGAACTCTTTTGCTCACATATCCATTGTTTCAAGTGTGATCTTTTTAGAAAGGTGTGTGGTTCAATTCACTCCTTCTTAAACCGGAGAACATGGGAATAGAGAGGGTTCACGTGGCAGTTTAGAAAGAAGAATGGGAAAATGTGTCCCTGAAGGATTTCAGTAGAATTGTGCAGAGGCCTGACTTCAAAGCATTTTGCGAAGACTTGTGAAAATGAAACAATGTAATTACAAAAGACACCACCAAATCCATTTTTATTTTGGAAGCAGATGCCTTTTAGAACTTTCTGAGTGTTAATAGATTTTATGCCACTTTCATTATCTTTATTGTAATTATGTCTATCCCATATCTTACTGGTCCAGGTCTGGCCAAACACCGTGGGCATAACAAACCTCTGTGAGTGGTGAGGGGTTACTGCACTGCACTGTTCTGTACTGTTCTGGTTCAGAAGCTGTCTACGGGCCTAGAAAATAGTCCTTGGCAGCATTTTAAAACCTCATCTATAACCTGTAGTTTCGTACTTCACCTAACCATGAGGGTGATTCTGTTGCCACGTGGTTTTTTGTGACAGGAGTTGCTATTCTTGTTCTGAAATGATGTATTTGTAGATCATGGAGTCGAGCCATTAATTATAGTAGTTCAAAACCTTAAAAGTCTGAACACAATTTGAATTTACCATTGGGTCAGATTCTACTAATTTTCCACCAAAGAATATTTTTGGTTGAGAAAAAGCACCCGAAGTGTAGTTTTATAATAGATTTCCATATGGTGTATGTTCATTGACAGATACAACATACTTCAGGCAAAAGATGGAAAACCATTTGGAAGATGGCCGTTTTCTTGGAGTTAAGATACAAATTTGATGGCTTTACTGTAGATCTACGAAATGTAAAGTCACATGACAGACTATTTTATCTTTTATTTTCATATGAAAATAGATTTTAAGCAAAATCCAAAAATAAAATTTGACACTATAAATGAAGGGCTTGAGTACATTGTTTTTTTCTCTACGTAGCTATAATTTCACCAGTTTATAGCTTCCAATTTGCAATTACAATCAGCGGTAGTTTTATGGCAACACATTCAAAGATAAAAAAAACCAAAACCCTCAGCCATCTAGGACCGGTTTAAGTTGTACACAACGATTCCCATATGTACATGTGATTTACAAAAACCCTGGCATTTAACGATACAGGTGGGGTAAGCTACAGTGGAGGTGCAGCATCTGAGTTCACTGGATCTTGATAAAAACCAAGCGGCACTCCAGTTACGAAGTGAGGTAGAGAAGGTATTTCCTCAGATAGGTTTCCGCATCTGGCTGAACAGTTCTCTTCCTGCAGTTAAGACAAAAGGGAGGAATTCTTGCAACAGTAACCAAAGTATTAACAGAACCAAGTGACGGCACCGTGGCTAACAGGTAAAAGACATACTTGAGTACCTCTTTGGAAAAATGTTTTGAGATGAACCACTGTAAAATTACCCAAGGGTAAAGGGAAAAGCTTAAGACTATAAGACAGAATTGAAGGTCCTCCAACTGGCAGTGGTAGTTAAAAGAACTCTGTGATACGTACCCCCATGAGCCGGGAGCTGGGAATGGCATCAGTGTCGGTAACTGTCCAGAAATTGTGACGGACCCTGTAGAACCTGGAAGGAGCTCTGCAAAGGGAGATGAAAACACTGGGCTCAGAAGCCAGCCCCTAACTCCAACTCCGTTCAGGCTTTCATCCCACACACCTGGATTACGACCCCAGACTCCAAGATAATTCTGACAGTCTTCCCCCCGCCCCCCTCCTCTAACACTTGTTACTCTCCTGAATTTGAATTCAGAGCACCTCAACCCCTGGGGCCACCACTGTGAGCTGACAGTTGAACTCTTCACTTAAACCCCGATGCACTCAACCTCTGCCGTGGGCTGTCTTCCCTCTAAGCCACCTTCTTTCCAACACCCGGTGCCTCCGACACTCTTAAGGCTGCCCGAGGCCCATGATGGTTCTGGTTCTGGCCTGTACCCGACTTGGTCCCACCACAGGTGTTAAGGGAATCCTGTTCAAATCTTGCTTTGCTGCTGCAGAGCTATGTGCCTACGAAAGAGGCAACTGCTTCTGAATGTTCCTTGAGGCACAGCCATGCTATATACTGCTCTGCAGTGGTGACAGATGAGCCCTGAAGTCCTGGTTTTGTCTTTTGCCAGGACATTTTTCATTGTGCACAACTCCTTTATCT